TTAAAAGATCCTCTCAACATAGTAAGAAAGTAATTCATAGCATGGAAGAAAGTGTGTACAAGTCACATACATGATAAGATTAATAGTCAAGGCCGGCGCCGCGGCTCACTAGGCTAATCCTCCGCCTAGCGGCGCCGGCACACCGGGTTCTAGTCCCGGTCGGGGCGCCGGATTCTGTCCCGGTTGCCCCTCTTCCAGGCCAGCTCTCTGCTGTGGCCAGGGAGTGCAGTGGAGGATGGCCCAGGTGCTTGGGCCCTGCACCCCATGGGAGACCAGGAAAAAGCACCTGGCTCCTGGCTCCTGCCATCGGATCAGCGCGTGCGCCGGCCTCGGCGCGCAGGCCGCGGCGGCCATTGGAGGGTGAACCAACGGCAAAAGGAAGACCTTTCTCTCTGTCTCTCTCTCTCACTGTCCACTCTGCCTGTCAAAAAATAAATAAATAAATAAATAAAATAAAAAAAAGATTAATAGTCAGAATAAAGAATTCCCGTTGAGTGCAGCCTGTTGAAATCCTTGCTTAGTATATACTAAGTTGATCTTCTGTATATGAAGGTAATTGAAAATGAATCTCAATGAAGGGCAGGATGGGAGAGGGAGTGGGAGAGGGGAGGGCCTCGGGAGGGAGGGAGGTTGGTGGGGGGGAGCCACAACAATTCAAAAGTTGCACTTTGTAAATTCACATTTATTAAATAAAAAAATTAATAATAAAAAAAAAGAGGCCAGTGCCGCGGCTCACTAGGCTAATCCTCCATCTGCGGCGCCAGCACCCGGGTTCTAGTCCCGGTCGGCGTGCCGGATTCTGTCCCGGTTGCTTCTCTTCCAGTCCAGTTCTCTGCTGTGGCCCAGGAAGGCAGTGGAGGATGGCCCAAGTGCTTGGGCCCTGCACCCACATGGGAGACCAGGAGAAGCACCTGGCTCCTGGCTTCGAATCAGCGCAGCGCGCTGGCCGCAACAACCATTGTGGGGTGAACCAAAGGAAAAGGAAGAGCTTTCTCTCTGTCTCTCTCTCACTGTCCACTCTGCCTGTCAAAAAAAAAAAAAAATGAAAAAAAGAGCTTGGGGAGATTACTGACGCCATAAACATGAGTGTCGATTTGACAACAGGAGTCACTGTGCACTTGCTCCTCATGTAGGATCTCTGTCCTTTATGTGCTGTTCAATGTGAATTCATGCTATAACTAGTTCTCAAGCAGTATTTTATACTTTATGTTCTGTGTGGTGCAAACTGTTGAAGTCTTTACTTAATATATACTAAATTGATCTTCTGTATATAAAGATAATTGAAAATGAATCTTGATGTGAATGGAAGGGGAGAGGAAGCGGGAGAGGGGAGGGTTGCGGGTGGGAGGGAAGTTATGGGGAGGGGGAAAGACATTGTAATCCATAAGCTGTACTTCGGAAATTTATATTTACTAAATAAAAGTTTTTAAAAAAAGAAAATAAAATTTTACAACTTTTACATAAAAAAAGAATTCCCAAAACCCAACAACAAAATGACCCAGTAAGTGGAGAGCAAAGGCGTTGACGCAGCATTCCTCCAGAGAGACACGAAGGGACCAAGAAGCAGGAGAACACAGGTTGCATGTTGCTAAGCAGTGGGTGAGCACAAGTCAGAACCCCTGGAGCCCTTGGGCATGGCTGGTGGCCGTGTAAAGGCGTCCGTCGGGAACCATAGAATCAAATTAACCACAGAATTATGTATGCAACAAGCCTACTTTGAGTACACCCAAGAGAAAAGTAGGATTCAGAGATGTTTGTACACCTATGCTGCTGGCAACATTATTCACAGTAGCCAAATGGGAAAACAGCCCAAATGTCCACCCGCAGATGAGAAGACAAACAACTAGCAGTATCTACAGACTGTGGAGTACTGCTCAGCCTTACGAAGGACAGAAATGCCAACACATGCCACGACACAGCTTAACCTTCTCTTCAAGGTCCCGTCTCTTAATACTGTTAAAATTGCAAGTAAATTTCAACTGGAGTTGGGAAGGGGATAAGCTCAAAGCATGCTGTAGTCAGATTCTGACACATATGAGCTAGACGGATGGATGCTGGGGCTGGGGGAGGGGGAGGGGAGCGGAGAGCTGTTTGCTGTGTAATGGGTACACAGGAGACCAGAAAGTTCCGGAGACGGATGGTGATGACAGCTGCACACTCAAAAAATGGTTCAAAGGGTAGTTTCGGGTTTTTTTTCTTTCTTTTTTTTTTTTATTCATTTTTTTTTTCTTTTATTTTTCTTGACAGGCAGAGTGGACAGTGAGAGAGAGAGACCGAGAGAAAGTCTCTTGCCATTGGTTCACCCTCCAATGGCCGCCGCGGCCAGTGCACCGCGCTGATCAGAAGCCAGGAGCCAGGCGCTTCTCCTGGTCTCCCATGGGGTGCAGGGCCCAAGCACTTGGGCCATCCTCCACTGCACTCCCAGGTCACAGCAGAGAGCTGGCCTGGAAGAGGGGCAACCGGGACAGAATCCGGCGCCCCGACCGGGACTAGAACCCGGTGTGCCGGCGCCGCTAGGCGGAGGATTAGCCTATTGAGCCACGGCACCGGCCCGTTTGTTTTTTGTTGTTGTTGTTGTTGTTTAAGACTTACTTATTCATTTGAAGGTCAGAGTTAGAAAGAGAGAGAGCTTCCATCTACTGAATCACTCCCAAGATGGCCACAATGGCCAGGGCTGGGCCAGAGTCTTCATCCTGGTCTCCCACATGGGCAGCAAGGAGCCCAAACACTTAGGTCATCTTTGGCTTCTTTTTTTAGGCCATTAGCAGGAAGCTGGATTGGAAGCTGAGCAGCCAGGTCACAAACGGATGCCCATATGGTTTGCTGGCATTGCAGGTGGCAGCTTTACCCAGTACACCACAATGCAGACCCCAAAATGGTAATTTTAATGTTATATATGTGTTAACACAATGAGAAAATTATAGGTGTGATTGTCCTACATATGTTATCAACTCACTTTGAATTATAAGTAAGCTTATAAAAGGAAATATCTTATGACTATTTTTTATCAATGGAATAAAAATAGGCATAGACAGATATTGTGGGGGGAAAGATGTGATGGTTTTTTGCCTCAAAGATATTTTCTACAATTTTTTATGCAATTAAAAGGACAAAGGTTTAGAACACTTTGGGTTGTGTCTTTAAACCCTTCGTTTTAAGAGTTAATGTGCATTTTGTATATTTTTTCTCTATCTAAACATTTTCTTATATTTATTTTATTTATTTGAAAGGCAGAGTTAGAAAGAGAGGGAGAGATGGGGGAGGCAGGCAAGGGAAGAGACCTTCTATCTGGTTCATTCTCCATATGGTTGCAAGGGCTGATGTTGGGCCACATGGAAGCCAGGAGCCTGGAGCTCCACCGGGGTCTCCCACATGGGTGCAGGGCCCAAGCACTTGTGCCATCTTCAGCAGCTTTCCCAGGCACATTAACAGGCAGCTGGATCAGAAGTGGAGCAGCTAGGACTCGAACCGGCACCCATATAGGATGCTGGCATCCTGGGAAGCAGCTTTAACCTGATGCCGAGCTACAGCTTGGCCCCCTGGCTTCCTAAACTGAGTATCTTAAATCCTGCCACCAAGGCAGACACAGGCACACGCCCGGCCGGCCGAGAGCCGCGCACGCAGCCGTCCTGGCCCCCAAACCTCCCGGGCTGGGGCCGCGACCATCACCGGAGCTGCGTGGGAGACCCGCCCTGCCTATCCAGGTCTCTGGCCACAGAGCACCCAGAGCTGAGAGAGAACCCGACCAGGCCCCGACCCCGGTTGCGCGGCGCCTGGAGCAGGAACCGCCAGACTGCACGCGCTGCGGGGCCTGGCCCAAACACCCCGCAGCACAAGGGACAAAGGGGAGGCTGGACTGGCCTGGACGGCTTCTCATGAGCCCCAGGCCCAGCTGGGAGCTGGAACGCATTGGGTGAGCCGAGCCCTGCACCTGCCCCGCCGCGGGCACAGGGGCCCAAGCCTCCCCCAGGGGCAGGTGTAGCCAATCGCAGAGCAGGCATGCGGTGGAGGCGGGGCCTATCCCACCTCAGATCTTGGCCTTAAAGTCCGAGTCAGCCAGGATGGGGCCAGGACCTCTGAGGGCCCAGGTGAGTGCCTCTGACAGGTGGGGATTCCGCACGGGGCAGTGGGGGCAGCAGACGTGACCCGTGGGAACGGAGCACAGGAGAAAGCGGGGAGGTCTCCTGGGGACTCCAGGGAGGCACGGAGACCGATCGCGGGAGTCTCAGGCTGGGTCAGTGGTCAGCTTCCTGGCACGCAGTGCATCCCCTGCACCCTCGGCTGGGATGCTCACTGTTTCTGGGCAACCTTCTGGGCTTCAGGGCTCTTGTGCGGAGAGGGCAAGGGCAGGTGGAGTGAGCTGAGACCGGCCTGCCAGGGGTGCAGCCTGGAAAAGCCGACCCAGACCTGAACACGGAGTCCGGGGGCCTGCCTGGCACTGCCCAGGAGCTGGCACTGAGTGCCCTGGCTTCCAGCGAGCGTGGCCACCACAGGACCCAGGAGCTGGCTGAGGCAATGTGAGGGTGTTGGCAGACCAGGCCGGGGTGTGAGGCAGCAGGGGCGGTAGCTGCTGGTCTTCCCAGGGTCTCCTGGAGCACATCCCAGAAGCTGAGGTTAAAAGACACATGTCCCTCCTGGTGTATGAGGTGTGAGGGGTCCTCCCAATCCTGGGGTTCCCTCTCCTCTTTCCCACTTTTGCAGGACCAGACAGGGACATCCGTGGGACATCACCCCATGACCTCAGTAGCTCTGGTGCAAAGCCTAGAGCCCCCACTGTGTCGGTGCCTAGAGCGTGGGCAGGCGGCTTTGCCTTTTGGTGGATGCATCGCCCCTTGCCTGTTCTTCCCCCATCCCAGCCTCAGCCTCCACTGTCGTTGGGGGAATTCGTGGGAGTAAAATTGAAACATGTTTCTTCCAGCATGGTGGCCTTGGTTTCTGGTGGGGGAGTCGGATGGCCGTGGAGAGAGGATTGTCTCATCAGGTCCTCTCTCTTCCCTCTCCAGGTTTAGCACCATGAATCCCTCACTCTTGCTGGCTGCCTTTGGCTTGGCAGTTGCCGCCGCCGTCCCCGTGCTTGATCGAAGTTTAGACGCGCGATGGTCCCAGTGGAAGGCACAGCACAGGAGGGCGTACAGCCCGGTGGGTACCACGTGGACCCGTCCTCAGGGACCCCAGGGAGAGCAGGAATTCCTGGGTAAAGAGCTCCATCTAGAGGCCAGCTCTCACCAGGGCAGCACCTGCTGGGCCCCCTACTGAGCACAACAGGGCAGACCCACCTGCTGGGTCTGAGCGTGGAGCCCGCCTCCCTCAAAGCCACCCTGGCCACGAATCCTGTCCCACCTCTGTCTGCAAGGCCACTCCGTGAGGGCGGGCTGGGTCATGAGTGGAGGTAATGACCATGAGCTCTGTGATTGCCCCTAGCATGAAGAATGGCGGAGGAGAGCCGTGTGGGAGAAGAACATGAGAATGATTGAGCTGCACAACGGGGAGTACAGCCAAGGGAAACGTGGCTTCTCCATGGCGATGAACGCCTACGGCGACATGGTGAGTGTGCTGTGGGTTGCTTGACCCCATACTTCCTCTCCTCTACCAAAATGATCTCTTGTTTTCCAACGTATTCTTCCTTTCTTTGCAGACCAGTGAAGAATTCAGGCAGGTGATGAATGGCTTTCACCATCAGCCAGACAAGAAGGAGAAGGTATTTGGGAAAGCTGTGTTTCAGGAGGTCCCCTCCTCTGTGGACTGGAGAGACAAGGGCTACGTGACACCTGTGAAGAAGCAGGTATGAGCGTGTCAGGCTCAGCCCCCCTCCCCCCACCTGCCAGAGGACGGCCGGGAGTGGCCGACATGCTGGTAGATGTGGAGAGACGAGGTCAGACACCTGTTCCCGTGTGCGCTCAGGCCGGGAGTGGTGTCAGCGTCTTGCTGTCTGTTTTGTGGATGACGGCTTTCATATTCCCTCCTCAGGGTCGGTGTGGCTCGTGCTGGGCTTTCAGTGCCACTGGGGCCCTGGAAGGGCAGATGTTCCGCAAGACTGGCCGGCTCGTGTCCCTGAGTGAGCAGAACCTTATAGATTGCTCTTGGCCTGCAGGCAACCACGGCTGCCGTGGGGGCCTCACAGATCATGCCTTCCAGTATGTGAAGGACAATGGGGGCCTGGACTCGGAGGACTCCTATCCGTATGAAGCAAGGGTAGGTGGAGCTCCTTACCTTGTTGTCACTGAGCTCCGCTTTGCAAAGTGGGCACCTTCAGATAGGACACACACATTTCCGAGTCCACAGACAGCAGGGACTCTCAATGCAAATCGGTGTATTGTCGTTATAAATTATTAGGTATCATACAGTTCTCTGATGACATGGTTGACACACGGCTGTTCTGCTTGTTAGGCACATGTTGTACATATAATGCAAATTCCTGTGTTGTGAAAATCGTATTGATAGATAAACCTCGGGCCTTTCACTGACGGGAGCTAATTTTCTACTGCCTGGGGTGATCTGTAACAGTGCTCACTTGCAATTGCTCCAAAGTGCTGAGGGTTGTCGTTCACACGCATGCTCTCCAGGGAGGCAGGGGGATTGCAGTAACCAAGCTCTTTCCCCTTTGCCTTGAATAGAATCTCCCCTGTCGGTACGATCCCCAGAAGTCTGTGGCTAACGGCACAGGCTTCGTGCGGATCCCTCGGCAGGAAAATGCCCTGATGGAGGCCGTGGCCACAGTGGGCCCCATCGCCGTTGCCATTGATGCAGGCCACCCTTCCTTCCAGTTCTACAAAGAAGGTCAGTATTCTTTGTGGACACTGATGCATAAGAGTTGTGAAACCAGAGAATGTGGATTGTCTGGTGTGTGACGTTCAGTGTAAATAATTGGCTGCAGAGATTTCATTGTTGTGGAATTTCTGTACAATGTTTGTGCTCTGTGTTTGTGCACAGCGTTTGTGCACAATGTTTGTGCTCTGTGTTTGTGCATGGTATTTGTGCACAGTGTTTGTGCATGGTGTTTGTGCAGGGTGTTTGTGCAGGGTGTTTCCACCCGTCATCACCAGAAGCATATCCCCATACCTCATAATGTTTAAAATAGCTGTATCATTTGTTTTATGGGTTAATCGACCTAACGTTCTCTCCAAATGTTTGATATTTAAGAATTTTTAAAGAGACCTCTACTTCAGTCATTTAATCTGGCAGGAGCCTGGTGATTCAAGCCATTTTGTACTTTATTTCCTAAGACTGATGCCCTGGGAGTTGAATTACAGGATTTCAGGGTAGTCTTTTAGGCCTCCCGGCCAATTTTTTTACATAAGGGTTCATTCTAATTTGTGTTTCCACTGGTTATAGATGAGATCCCAGAACCCTGGGTTTGATGACAATAGCTCCAATTTGTAAGTCTTTTCTGGAATTTATGGCATGTAGAGAAGCCTCCCTTCCTGTGGGTGGCAGGTGGGTCGCTGTCAGGGGTCCGCTGGACCCTCTCCACCAATCTTTGATCTTCCTCCCCAGGCATTTACTACGAACCCAACTGCAGCAGCAAACACCATAACCACGCTGTGCTGGTGGTCGGCTATGGCTATGAAGGGGCGGAAAGCGACAGCAATAAGTACTGGCTGGTCAAGAACAGGTACGAATGCCCCCAAAAGTTTCTATTGGCAACCAAAAAGGAATTCTTGCTTGCAATCAGCAGCTGGAGGCAGGACCACAAATCCTAAACAGGCTTCTGAAATCCTAGATGTCTTCCTCCCACTAAGGGTGAACACAGCAGTGTCACATGTGATTATAACATTCAGACACCGTCACAAGCTTGCTGGCGGCACGAGTACCTTTGCATTTGTCAGTTTAGACAGCTTACATAATAGTGCAACATCTGGCTAAAAAGACAGCCTGTCCTGCTTCTGCCTGTGATTTTGCAGTGGGGCACTGTGCACAGAAGTGATATGCAGATTTAGGTTCAGCAGTTTATAAAGGACCAACCCAAATGTCTGCCTCTTTCTGCTAAGTCCATGACCTCTGACACGCTGCTCAAGCAAGATGTCGTTGTTAATAAAGTCACTATACTTTATTCTCTCCATGAAATGGAAAACCTGCTTTTCTTTCAGCTGGGGTAAGCGATGGGGCGAGGCTGGCTACATAAGGATAGCTAAAGACCGAAACAACCACTGTGGAATCGCCTCCCATGCCAGCTACCCCACTGTGTGAGCTGATGCCCCCTGATAAGGAAGCCTTTGATTGGGACTGTGTATCTGGAGGAGGAAATTCTGTCTTCAACCGGACCAGGCCCTCCTGGGTAGGATACAACTCTTAAATTCCTGCAGATCCCCAAGATGGGGCTCGAACTCTGTGATACTTTACACTTGTTAAAATGCAACTACCATTATAATTATTGCTATAGCGAGTTTTGTATTGTTGGCTTACTTGGTGACTTTGGATTTTCATATTTTAAAGGATGTATCTTTTTTATTTTTAAAAATAAAACTTGATTTCCAACATAGTGGTGGATCTTCGCTTTGTTTTTAGAGAACTGGCTTCTTGCATGGTCAAACACGTAGTTGGGCTCTCCGGACAGAACTGTGCATGCCAGCGAGGAGGCAGTGGGTGGCTTTTTGGCCCTCCTACTTGTAAACACTGCAGCGTATCCACAGGTGCACCTTGCAGGGACTCAGTTAGCTGCACTCCTCTAGGGTCAGAGAATGCCAGATGGAAAAGTCCAGAAAGAAACCGTTCATGGCATGTAAGTCACAAGCCGTTCTGAGCCTTGTGATGGAATCTCATGCCACGCCACTCCTTCATGGCCAGGACGTGAATCCTTCCCTTGTGCGGGCTTCGACGCTGAGCCCTCCCACGAGTCACGTAGTAGCTGTCTGGGTTATCAGGTCGACTGCAGTACCGCGGTTCTTGTGTTCAGGCCACTCTTATTTTACCCAGCGATGCCCCCGAAGCCCAAAAGGAGTAATCCTGGCCACTTGGTTACTGCACGTTGTTAGAATGGTTCTATTTTATTATCAGGTATTGTTGTTCATGCTTAGCATGCCTAATGTGTTTGTTAAGCTTCTTCACAGATATACACGCATAGTAAAAAGCGTCATATGGAGTGTAGTACCATCCACAGTTGCAGGCATCCACTGAGGGTCTTTTTTTTTTCTTCTTCAAGATTTATTTATTTACTTGAAAGTCAGAGTTACACAGAGAGAAAGGGAGAGGCAGAGAGAGAGAGAGACCTTCCATTTGCTGGTTCACTCCCCAATTGCCCGCAACGGCTGGAGCTGGGCTGATTTGAAGCCAGGAGCTTCATCCAGGGCCCACAGAAGCCCAAGGACTTAGGCCATCTTCCACTGTTTTCCAAGGCCATAGCAGAGAGCTAGATCAGAAATGGAGGAGCCAGGACTTGAACCAGAACTCATATGGGATGCCGGCACTACAGGCGGCGGCTTTACCTGCTATACCACAATACCGGCCCCTCACTGGGGGTCTTATGTCAGCCAGCGCAATGACTGTGACCCAAACCTTGCTTGGAGCAAAATTCGACAAATGATCCAAGAGCAAAATAATAATAATAATAATAATTTTGGGGTGAATAGCAAAATGGTTTTATTTTTATTTAATAATTATGTTCAGTTTTTGTTAAACTGAGACGCAATCATTGTACTTGTTTATGGGGTACAGTATTATGATGTGATGCAAATACACAATATGAAATGACCAAATCAGTGTAGTTAGCATTCCCATCTTCTCAGCTGTCATCTGTGTGTTGAGAATCTCTAAACTCTTCTCCTCTGGTTATTTTGAAATGTGTAATTATTTATTGTGCACTATATTTATCCTGCTGTGCTATGTAGATTGTACAACTACTACCCCATCCTCAACTCTATTTTAACTACCCTTTCCTTAGTAACCTCTATTCTAATCTCTACTTTACATGATCAACAATTTTAGCTTCCACACATGAGTGAGAACATACGATCTTTGTATTGATTTGGGTTATTTCACTTAACATTATGTCCATATAGAATGTCATAAATGATAGGATTTCACTCGTTTTTTGGACTGAATAATATTCATAGTGTATATATACCTCATATTTTAAGCCACCTAACCATTGGCAGCATTTAGGTTGCTGCTTCCATATCCTGGATGTTGTTTATAGTTCTGTACCAAACATGGGTGTGCCACTATCTCTTTGATACAATGATTTCATTTTTTTTGCATAGTCACGCCCAGTAGTGGCATAGTCAGATCAGATGTTAATTCTCTCCAGGTTTTCTGAGGAACCTCTGTTCTGTTTTCCATACTGGCTGTGCTAAATCACATTCCCCTCAACAATGCATGAGAGTTCCCCCTCTCCACATTCTCACCAGCATTTATTTTTCATCTTTTTAATAATAGCCATTTAAAAATATTTTATTAATAATAATTATACATTGACATGCGATACAGTGTGACATTTTCATACATATATAAAATGTCTACTGATCAAAACTGGGCAAACAACACTTCTCCTTCTTTGATGTTATTTGATGACTGGAGGCTTCGAGCTTCTTCCTTCTATTTGTTCTTCCAGTGTATACTAGGGAACTCCAGCCTCACCACTATGCTATGTGACACTAGGAACTTACCCCTTCCATCTGACTTTCATTTGGTACCCATCATCCAAACCCATCCCATTCCCCCTATCCCTCCTAACCTCTGTGAGATCACCATTCTGTGGTCAGATGGGAACTTTTCAGCTTCTTTTTAAAAGATTGTTTATTTATTTGAGAGGCAGAGCTACAGACAGAGAGAGGGAAAGCCTGAGAGAGAGGTCTTCCACCTGATGGTTCACTCCCTAAATGGCCGCAAAGGCTGGGGCTGGGCAGATCTGAAGCCAGGAGCTATTTCCCGGTCTCCCATGTGGGTGCAGGGGCCCAAGCACTTGGACCATCCTCCACTGCTGCTTTTCCAGGCCATTAGCAGAGAGCTGGATCAGAAGTGGAGCAGCTGGGACTCAAACCAGTGCCCATATAGGATGCCAGTGCCGCAGACTGAAGCTTTAACCTGCTACACCACAGCGCCGACCAAAGTGGTTTTTTGTTGTTGCTGTTCCTTTAACATGTATGCTTTCATCCAATATTTTGGGCCCCTTATACGAAGCAGTGCTGTGCTGAGCTGGAGACTCAATAGTGAAAGAGATAATGCTGTTCCCTCCCTACCTCCCCTAAGTTCCCTTGGGAAAACAAGGAACTCACAGCCTGGCACACCCTCAGTGGCAGTGTGGGCAAAGCTCTAGTTTACATCAGGGATGTGGCGCCCTCTAGGGGAGAAGGAAGGACCAGCGCAAGTGTTCTATTATCACATGTCCAGAGCTCAAGGTGTTTTTGCTTGGATGGGATATGAGGAGGCACTTTCCCTTTGTGTTGCATTATTTCAGCTTTTATTTAAAATTTTTCATTGTTTTAAACATTATTTCAATGTTATAATAAAATTTAACTACTTTCAGGAGGTCATTGCTTCAGATGCGTGTCGTTCATGGGAAAAATTGAAGAATCGGTCAAGGAAAAGGAGGGGAGGGGAAGGGAGACACAGAGGGTCCTTGGTAACTTGACAAAGAGGCATCTCCAGTTGGGGGTGCCTGTCCTGAGACTCGCACTGAGCCTGCCCGGCGGTGCCCTCCCAGGGCACAGACGCAGGAGCCTCCGCCAGCAGCTGACCCCAGCGTCACCTGGGCAAGTCTCAGCCACACAGAGCCTCTCTGAGAAAGGTGGGCTGAGTGTTCCCAGCCAGGGGAGACAGGGAGGGCTTCACCAAGAGTTACAGGGAGATGACCTCGAGGGAAACCTACCACAGGACAAGGCTCCAATCAGGCTGCCTCAGTGAGGCCAGAATTCCAGAACATTCCTGTCCTGTAGCTCTCAGCCACCACCAGCCCCTCCCCCAACACACACACCCGCCACACCCACTCTGCAAAAGAGACATGGATCTCGAAGATGCTTTCCTTACTCACGGATGGTGGTGGTCGTGGAGTTCAGTGGGCAGTTTCTCAGCATGGGCCACGCAGACAGCAGCTCTTTCCCTCCGTGCTCGCGCTGTGGGATGCCCACGCCAGGAGCAGGTGTGTGATCTTCGGCACCAGCAGAGGCCCAGCCAGCACCAGCCTCCAGGACCAGCCTCTCAAGGGAGGCCCCTGGACACCCAGTCCAGCCAAACCCATATTTGCCTCCTGCAGGAGCAGTGACCCCCAAGTGGGGACCACGTGGCCGAGGCCACCGGGGAGCGTGAACAGCTGCCCCACGCGGCCGGGTGCCGGGAGCATTGGTTCTCGGTGAGAGACGGGGAAGCAGCCTAACCCAGGGGCTCCCTGCCGAGACCCTGCCTCTCCGTCTCTTCTCACACCTGGCTCTGGCTGTGGTCTGTCTCCCTTCTTCCTGGAAGCCCTCCCTGACTCCCACACTGTCCCTGATGGCCCTGCCCCTTGGGGTGGGTGCTGATAACCTGCACACAGCAGGTGCTACTTAACTCCAGCTCTGTCACACGAAGGTCCCCACCCACACCAGGCTCTTGCTGCCACCCTGAGTGCTTTTACCTCAACACCCAGCTCCTTCCCTCCTTGGCAACATCGGCCAGTTTTAGGACAAAAGCTAGAAACGGTAGCAGCCGCAGTGGGAGGCCAAGGTGAGTCAGCGTGGCTCGCGGTCCCATCAGCGTAAACAAGGTCAGAGACTGCTGGAGGCCCCAGGGGCTGAGACCCCAGCTGTCACCTCCGTGCTCCATCACTCACTTCTTCCACCTGCTCCCGGGGGCTTCCTGAGTGGGACTCTGGAAACACTCGGGGGATGGGCGGGTGTGCTCTCTAACCAGTGCAATGCAGGCCGGGATTCCCACATTTGCCTTTCAGTGTTGTGTGGTCTAAATGTGGCCATGGACCACCCCTGGTTCTGGTCCCTCCCTGTCTCCCACCCTCCCAGGCCACAGCAGTGGGTCTGAAGGCAGCCTCAAAGTCAAGACTTTGTCCCCTACCCAGACTCGGGTGCCCTGGGGCCCTGCCCGGACGTCCTCCACTGCAAAGTGACCACGGTGCCTCCACCCGCAGCTGGGGCCGGGGCTCTGGACCAGGCCTCCCAGGGGCTGCCGGGGGCTGGCCTGGGCTGCAGAAGTGACCGTGACCTCTCAGGCCCTTTTCCAGGAAAGAAATCACATGTGTGTCTAACAAGCGAGGCTGCTCTTCTCTGAAACCATTTCCTTAGTCCTTAGAGATCACTTGTGAGGTTTACAAGGACTGGGAGCGACAGAGGCACAGGCAGGGACATGGATCTGCACGTTTGTAGCCAGAAGAGCTGGCAGGTGCCCCCTCTTTCTCCCCGTGCACCACTGCCACGTTCAGTTCTGTCTGGGGAGCCCCGTTATGGGTTTGACTGCCCAAGAAGTCAGTGCACTAAAAACAACAAAACTTCTCATCTTGCATAAAATTAACTTTATTAATCAATAAATAATTTTGGCAAATCCACAATGCAA